ATATCTGTCTCGAATCCTGTCCCCTTGTATACAGTGAGACCCTTGTATATCTGTCTCACCTGAGCCTAGAAAGTAAACCCATCAGGTCTTGCCTTTGGTGACATGGCCCTCACCCCTAAGGCCATCAGAGGCCTTCTAAACACAGGCTCCCCAAGCCAGGCCTCCTGCAGGTAGGTCACTGCCAATAATGGGGCGTGTGGCCTACCAATTCGGCACCACTGAAGGTCTTCATGTAACCATGGACCAACCTTAAGGAAATGAATGGCTCTCCTAAGGACTGAGAAAAACAAACAAAAAAGCTGCCTCTGATTGATATTAATGTACTGATAACCTTGAGCACAGCTAAGGACCTTCTCCCCCTCTCTCCCTGTGTTCCTCCTTCCCCTAGATCCCTATCCACCCTGGTGAATTTCAGGGACCCTGGAAATATTTTCATCACCTGGGAGGAGTTGAGCTCATCCACTTGCCCCAAAGGGGCCAGCTCACACTCCCTTCTTCTCTCCCTTGGCCTCTTCTGGGCCTCAGCCTTGGCAAGGTGATGGATTCAAAACCAGAAGTTGGCACATCCACCAAGTAATTATTGTTTATCTCCCTTGTTTATGTGGCTGAACAACAGCTCGTTTTCAAACTTAATAGTCACTACTCAGAAAGACAAAACTGCCTTGGTCACTCTTGGGAAATGGCTTGAAGATGTGATGGAAAAACAAAGGCGGGTGGAGGGTGAAAGGAACCTAGTATGTCCACAGCCTGTGCTGCTCAGGCCAGTCATGCAGATGGAGCCCCACGGCAGAGGCCCCAGAAATGGGGCGTCCTCTGCCCAACCAGCTCCCCTGGGCCAGCTACAGCATGCACTGGTGGGACAAGGGGCAAATCTCACTACTGCTGGGGCTGAGGCTGGGGCTTTGTCTTCCAACCATGTGCATCCCACAGTCGAGGACAAGAAGGTCTGATTAGCCAACGATGAGGTAGTGAGGGGAAGCAGGCCACGTGGAAGAGCTGGCTGAGCAACCCAGGTCCCACAGCCTAGGCAAAGGCATGCGGCTGTGTGCTTATTAAACATGGTGAAATTCTGCCATCTGCTGGTCAGTTCTAGAACTTCAAGAACCTGAGTCTGGGAGTTCTGGATTTAAGAACTCCAAACGCAAAAAAAAAAAAAAAAAAAAAAAAAAAAAAAAAAAAAAAAGCCAGTGGGTTAGCAAAAGCCTGTAATCCCAACATATGGCAGGAAGATCGTGAGTTCAAGGTCATTCTTGGATACATAGTGAGTTTGGGGCCAGATTGGGCTACTAGAGAGTCTCCAAAAAATTAAAAAGTGGTATGAAAGGTAAGAGTGTATGAAATTTTGAAAGAATATAAAATAATAATAGCAACAATGATGGTAGACTCAAGCTTTCTACCAGGTTGGGATGTTGTCATTGTTGTTCACTGTTGTTGCTTCGATGATTATAATAAAGTTACAATTCTTGATTATTAATCACTTTCTAGGGTTTGCAAACAGGAGTCTGGAACTTGGTCATCGCTTAGAAGTTCTTCTTCCATATAGGTGGGACAACGTGCCCAAGGTCAAGTGATTGCTATATGGAACAGGCAGGGTGCCAGCCCAGGCCAAATGGCTCTGACTGTGCACTCTCACCTGGCTCCTCATGTGCAGAGAAACCGGACCATCTCCCTAGGTCCCAGGAACTCCCCTCTCCCACTGCCTCACTCAGGAGACCATTTCTGAGCCCCCAGGCCTACCCATGTGTGGGAATCACTGTTCTAGGACACAGTGGCATTGTCCTTCGAGTCCTGGAGGCCTAGAGCAGAGCTCAAAGCTTGTAGGACCCCAGCCTTCTCTTCTGTGTGTAAAGGTTTCTCCTGGGTTGAGGACTTGAGGTCTGAGTCTGGGATAGTCAGCTCTAAAGGAAAGAAGAGGTGATTGGCATGAGGAAAGAGAGCCCTGGGGATGGAAATTGGCTGCCTGGATTCCAGCCCAGCCTCCATCTCAGTCCCTGCCTATGACCAATCATATTTCCCAGTTCCTTCCAACCCTCTTTACTGTGACTGCTGAGAAGGACCCCAACAATGACCCAATGGAAACAGTGGGAAAGGCTGGACCCAGAGAGGGTAAACAGCTAGCCCAGGCACAAAGACGAGATGACAGAGCCAGGATGAGAAGTTATGTCTCCCAACTGCCCAGCCAGAGCCTCCTAGTGCAGCCCCACCTTCCCTGTCTGCTAATAGGCACCTGTGCCATACTCAGAGCTTTGCTCTGGGTCTGAGATGAACCTGAAGTGACAAATGTCCTGCTTCTGAGAGACATTTCCCCCTGTGTCCTGGGACCTATGACAAGTCTGTCATTTTCTGTCAGAGGGAGGTGACCTGGGAACTGAGAAGAGATGGTTCCTGGTTGCTTTATAATCGCAGCTCCAGAGACAGTGGTGGGTGTGCTCAATGGTGTTGTCACCTGGGTCTAAGCAGAGGTCCCAGGGCCTCCAGACTCTGCTGTCTTCCTACCTTGTCTTGCCTTTGTACTACTCTGTAGGTGGCAGCCCTACTAAGGATAGGCAGTGGCTCATCCACCCTCCATGACTTTCCTCCTGAAGAGCTCTGGTTCCTATTCCACTCCCTCCTCTGCAGCGGGCAGTGGCGACAGGCCCCAAGGGACTGGGAGTCACTTGGGCCAGCACTGTTCTCAGAATCTCTGAAACCTTCACTGTATCACAGTTACAAAACATAGGTCCTAGAAAAGGTCAGTGGGCTTCATAGCAATAAGTACACAAGGAGGTGACCTACTGGGCACTCCTTGGGAACAGTTACTTAGGAAAACCGGCAGCAAGATTAGAGCTTGGGGAGCATCAGCCAAGGGCGGGGAATTCTGTCTTCTCTGCTCTCGTGGGAAACTACCAAAGGGGTCAGAGCATGATGGCAGGTCCCTTCGCAGTGGAGAGGACTCTCCCTGGAGTCCCCCTCCCCCTCCTCCTTTCTCCTTTCTCCTTTCTAGCTCCCATTTCTTCTATTTCCCAGGGGCCCCTCATGGGAAACCTGGCTGTTGAGATCTGAATGTTCCTCTGACCCCATAGGCAGAGGGACAAAGAAGGAGAAGGAATGTTGCTATCCCAGGCAGACCAGCTGAGGCTGATTTAGGGACTTTCCACAGTGTGTGATGTGTGGTGTGTGGTGTGTGGTGTGTGGTGTGTGGTGTGTGGTGTGTGGTGTAGTGGCTGACTCCCATGCTCCCATCACCATTTTGACAGCCCGGAGTAGGAGGAAGAGTAAGGACCATTAGAGCAGAGACATATGATGTCCAGGCCCCACCAAGGGAAAACTTGTTAAGTTTGTACTCTCTGTTACATCATGCTTCTGACTGGTTTGATCACCTCTTCCCAGAAGCCATCCATTATTGTCCCTTAGGCCTCTCTGGAGTCCAGGGATTTGGGTGTTGTCATTTCCTTCATCTGTACCCCAAGTCCAGCATGGTGTTGTCCTTGAGAGGCAGCCTCAGTTGTGGCCTCCATCACCCAGGGCCCCTCCATGGAGAATGTTCTTGGGTCATGCCTCTAGTCCATCTCTATCACAGAGCTTAAGTCACAAGCTGGAAGCACCTATGGAAGACCCTAGGGGGCCGGTTGTGGTGGCACACTCGGGTAGGATTTGCTGAAGGACTCTTAGGCATGTTGTCAGAGGATCTGACCACTCACAGTGGTTCCCTGGTTACTCAAGAACTCCCTGGGCCTCCACCTTTCATGTTCAGGGTTAATGAAAGTGTCCTCAGAATGCTCCAGGTTTCTGTTCCTCAGAGACCCAGACTAGACCCAAAGGCCCCATGGTTTCAAGATATAAGTGGGAGCTGGGTGGTGATGGCTCACACCTTTAATCCCAACACTTGGGAGGCAGAGGCAAGAGGATCTCTATGAATTCGAGGCCAGCCTGGTCTACAGAATGAGTTTCAGGACGAACAGGGCTACACAGAGAAGCCCTGCCTCAAAACAAAACAAAAGAAAGAGGGGGGATGATAGGACATCAGCTCCCTGTGACCCTGAGGGACTCATTCAGATCCGGAGAAGTAAAGAGACAAAAAATGGTTTATTCAGGGAGGGGGAAGCCCAAGCCAAAAGTACCCCTCCCCACCCCTGCAAGCTGGCCTGAGTGGCCCCATCAGCCTAGAACAGAAGACAAGCCCCCAAACGCCCAGTGCTGCTGCTGATTTGGCCCTCTCAAAGACCAGTGACATGGACGTGGATGGAGGCTGGCTTCCCTGATATGTGTGCTACCTCACAAGTGACACCACTCTTACCAGCCCATCTTGCTGTCCATTACCATGAAGAGCATCCAATTCCATATGAGTAAAAGTCTACGGGCAAATTTCCATGAGTGTGTTGTGGCTGTCAGGGGAGCAGCTCCTCACAGCAATGGCAGAGCAGGAGATCCCATTCTCTGGTTTGCAGCCTCAGAGTGAACATGGCAAAGCCTCACAGCTGGACCATGACAAAGCCAGGTCGCTGAGACCATCCTCTAAGGCATGGCCAGGCCAGCTAGGCTTTAGTAAGTGGGATCCTAGAGGACACGCAGGGCCTGCCTCCTCCTGACAGGCTCAGGCTGCTGATAAAATGTGAGCCCAAGGAATGGGCACAGAGAGGTTGCCTTAACTGGGCACCTACTGTCCATGGTGGAGGGAAGTGGTCACACAGCCTGGACATCGGAGAGCCTAGGCAGGGGGAAACAGACTGGCACCATGAGGGCCTGGTGACCAGCTTTGGGAGAGGGTCACAAGAAAGAAGCCCAACTGTCTCTCACCCTGTGGTAGGTAACTTGGCCTCACATGTAGAAATCACAGTGACTGTATGTCACCAAGCAGAAAAAGAACCCATAGGGGAGCAGAGGAAGCCAGCATGCCCTGGGGAGGGGGATTGTCAGAGGCTGTGGGTGGGCAGAGCGGGGCCAGGCTCCTGCCCTACATTTGCAGCAGCTCAGGAAGCAGGAGCAACAGGAGAACGGGGTTGTGGAGCTCTGTGCTGAACTCATGGGGCCTCGTTGGACCCGATCCCACTGCCTTTGTTGACATAGAATGGCCGGTAGTGAGACTGTGAGGGAAACAGGAATGATTAGAGCAACCAGGTGGTAGCAGAACCGCCTAGCCAGCCCACCCAGCCTAGCCCTCCCAGAAGCAGCACTGGAACAAATCTACAGCCCGCTGTGCCCTGTGACCTGACTTGCAAGGTCTACCCGCCTATCTTGCTGCTAAGTGGTGGCCCCTTGATATCACCAGAACTTCTGGGTCCAAATTCTAACTAGAGTCCCTTCCTGCCACTTAGTATATGAGCTTGGATTTCATCCGCCACCCACAATGTCCTCCTAGTGCCACCGCAGCCACCATGTGCATGAGCACTCTGTGTTCTACAGAACTACACAGCACTGTGCCAAGAGCTTTCCATCGACAGACTCAATTAGGTTTTACAACCGTCCAATTAAAATAAGCTACTGTGATCATGGCCACTTTATAAGCTAGCAAACCAATGCACAGAGAGGCTAGGCAACTTGCCCAAGTCACCCAGCTAGTGAACAAGGGGAGTAGGATGAGAGACCCAGAGGCTGGATTCCAAGATCCCATCATCCCCGCCCCACCCCATTTCTTGGTATCATTCTTGTATCTCAAGCACTTTATATGTCAGCTTAGGCTCTCTGCATGATTCTCCCTAACAGACCAGTACAGAATGAGTGAACCACTGCCCCAGCCCACTGTGCTCCCCACCCACCATCCCTAAGCGTGGAACAGGAGCCTCTCTAGCCAGAGCCATGAATAGCTTTCCCAGACTCCTCTCTGGGTCACATCACATGGCAATTTCAGGGAAATCAGTCTTTCTCCTTTTGTTCTCCTAATCCTTGCCTTGGGGCTCTGAGAAGTCAGGTCCCCGAGGCTGGAAAGGAAGAGCAAAGTGTCGATGTCCCTGGCTACTAGAACACACTGCTGGCCTCAGGAGGGTCTCAGAAATCAGCCCTGTCCCTAAGTGGGTCAGACATGAAGCTTCTCTGTGCTTCCCAGACATCTCTGGTCTGTGACTCTTGCATAGCAGGAGTTGGGCCTAGGCAGTGCCAGGGCAGGAGGGTTTGCAGCCCAGACCTGGGCTAAACCATCAATTCACGAAGGAAGAAACTGCTGGGCATTGGTGGCACATGCCTTTAATCCCAGTACTCGGGAGACAGAGACAGGAGGATCTCTGTGAGTTTGAGGCCAGCCTGGTCTCCAGAGCGAGTGCCAGAATAGGCTCCAAAGCTACACAGAGAAACCCTGTCTCAGGAGAAAAAAAAAAAAAACCTGCACAAAGGAAGAAACTGAGGCCCAAGAACAGAAATCAAACGTGGACAAAGTCATGAGGCTGCCCTAGCAGAGCAGGTTCTCTAGCCCTCAGGTCCATTCCAAGACCCCAAAGCAGTCCACAGGTTAAGGTGAATGGATTTGTCTTTCAGAACGGCTGGGTCAATGGCATATGGATTGCAGGCCAACGAACATGGCTGTAGTCAGAGGCTGGGGCAATGGGTGAGTAGGGTGCTCTTTGCCAGACCTCCCTAAATAGGATCGAAGTATGTGGGAGTTAGAAGGACTGTGAGATCACCCAAGCTGAGGAATTCAAGTTAGAAATGGAAAAACTGAGGCATGGAAGATCCACTCATGCACGATCACAGAGCAAACTGGTGATGGCTGGGTCCCAGTTGCCAGGCAGCTTGCATCTTAGGCTGGCCTCTGTGCACACTACACTGGCTTCCATCGTCCCAGCACTAGGTGCCAGTTGGACTCCATAGCCTTGTCCTGCTGGAGCCCTCAGAGACTGGAGAGCCTTCTCTGTAGGGCCTCAGGTCTGGGGGACAGGAATGTATATGACAGGGAAAGGAATGACTTTCTCCCATTATCTACTTTCCACAGTCCTGCTGCTTCAATGCCCTTGGGCCCAGCTCCACATTACACACGCAATCACTTAGCTCCTCTCACCCACAAATTAAAGAGTTTTTCCAATTAAACCAGCCCCAGCTGCTCTTTGGAGAACAGGGCAAATCCTGTGCTTTGACCTCAAAATGCAAAAGCAGTGGAAGCCAAGAGCTCGGAACCCACCATCTGAACAAAACCCTGATGCTACCTGCATGGTACACTGGTTAGCCCTCTCAGGACCTAGCACAAACCCTGGGGGGAAAACAGTAGGGGAGATAAAGGCTCCAGGGTAACAGTCTCTGATCACTGCTATTCCCAGATGTATCTGGTCTGCAGGGAACTGGGGGCCACCTCATCTCATCATCATATTATAAGAATGAAGACTTGAAAAGGGTATGTGGTTCTGAGGTGCCAGCAGGTGGTCTGGATCCTTGGCCACCCACACCACCAGTGCTGCTTTCTAATAACCCCAGCTTAGGGTTATTAGAGAGTAAATCCTGATACACATGTCCAGTGTTCCAGCTCCCCCAAGCACACGCTATCACCCCTAATGGCCTCTATGCTATCCTAGCTGGAAAGTAGACCCAGGAGTGGGACCCATTTTCAGGATGCCTGTCCAATGGACTAAGTATTTACAATCACACACCTCTTGGAAACCAAGCCACCATTGTTACCCAGTGATTACTTGCAGTTGCAAACACTGGCTGCCCAGCTACAGATTCTAAACACAGGTCAAAGGCAGTGTGTGTTTACCTAGGTCCCCTGCATATAAGCCTGTGTGTCTCTCTTTCCCTTTGCTACAGGTGGTTGTTTGAGTCCTTGCTGCCTCCCATGTCCTTGGACATGGCTGTGCTCTGCAGGACCACCCTCCACTAAGTGCACCTTACTCACCAGCAAAGTCTGCTTGCCAGATTTCCAAGTCTGAGGCTGGGCTTTGGAAGCCTGACTCCGGAGGATGGAGGGATAGCCTGGGAAGACACGATGCTCCAGTCAAGAGAAGTTTGGGCTGGTGCCCAGGGACCCCAACAGATGGAGCAGCATAGCTGCCTGCCCCACGGTGACCCCGAAGCATCATCCAGCCCAAGAGCAAGTTCAGCCACCTGCAGAGGTGTGCAACAGCTGGGATGGTGCAGTTGTCAACTAGAAATCCTGGGAGGTTAGCCAAAGGAAGAAGGCGGCAAGGCAGACAGGCAGAAGGAGAAGGAGCCAGCCAGGTGGGCAGGGACAGACAGTGGGAAAATGTTGCCTCCCAGTCCAGACGTTCACTATGCTGCTAGGAGCACCACCCACTTGTCCTGAGGGCTTACCGCCAAAGACCTATCTCTTTCCCAGAGTCCAGGACAGCCCTTCAGTCAGCAGCCCCTGCCAACACTGCCCAGAAGGAAGGACTCCTGGCTCTGCGGTGTTATGCTGGGGTCAGGGTGATGTCTCTCATTTATCGAGGCCCACTTGTGCCAAGCACCATGTGAGTGTCTGCCCCTTGCTTGATCCTCCCCTCTCTTTAGTGCAGCAGTTTGCCTGAGTCATATGGCAGCAAGTGGCTATCAGGATTGGAACCCACAGCTTGCTGGCCTCCAAAATCCATAATCCCATTCCTTCTGCTAGTGTCACAGCTCACTAGCAGCAGACCAGGAACCCACAGAAGAAGGGCAGCCATTTGCCAGTGTGACTGTCACTCAAGGTTAGGACAGCAAGTCCAGGATCCTAGCAGGTGGCTCTCTGTATTTGGTGAGACAGTGCTAGCCCAGAATGAAGCTGCCTGACACCTCCCTTCGTCTCAGCCCAGGACCCCTATAAAGAACTAAACTGATAGCACAATGGACCCCTTTTCCCCATTCAGCCCACAGGGCAAACAGCAGCAGCTGGGAATAAGCTGGCCTGTGACTTGGAGAATGAGAAACTGGGGAGATTAACAGCATCTGTCCTTGGCAGCCACTGTCCAACAAGACTATAGCATTTCCCACTGCACTGAGCAAGAACCCCTGGGAATGTCCCTGCATGTAGGGTAGGAACTGCCTGAGAAAGAGAAGATTCTGTGGGCCCTGAGTGACGATGAAGATTGGGAATTAAGACCTCACCTCTCGGTTTCCAGAAAGAAAAACCCGCACCAGCTGTAAGAGCTAGGGGTGGCCCATGAGAACAGCCTTGGCAGCAGGCAGAAGTCCAAAGAGAGTGAGCTAGGATGGCAGGGACAGGGGACATGCATCTCTCTCTGGGGAGCTCTGAGGAATAGGGACCAGGATACCCTAGAAGTGGCAGGGATCTCCCCCAGGGTGGCCCACCTGCCCTACTATGGCAGAGGAAGGGAAGGGGTGGAAAGAAGGCAGGTACCGGGATTGTTTTTAAACAGCCCACTGCGGTCCAGTGGCTTGGAAAACTCTGCAGTGGCCTGTCCCAAGGTTGTGAACTGATAGGGGGCTTTCCCAGTGCCTGCTGGGAGAGAGAGAGGTGTTAGCAGCATGTGCCTACTATCCAGGAGGCTGAAAATCTAACACCTCACTGGGGCACTGTGCTCCTCCATGCTCCACAGCCTTGCTCAGACCTGGGAGCTAGAGCCGGCTTGGAGTCCAGAAGCAGCAGCCTGCTGTGGATATCTTCCTGCTCTTCCAGCCTCCTGCTGCGAGGTGTTAGCAGCATGTGCCTACTATCCAGGAGGCTGAAAATCTAACACCTCACTGGGGCACTGTGCTCCTCCATGCTCCACAGCCTTGCTCAGACCTGGGAGCTAGAGCCGGCTTGGCAGCCCCAGTGTTCCCTGTCTGCCTGTGGGTCTGGTAGAGGATATGGAGAAAGGAAGAATAGGTCTCAGGACTTCAGGCTATCCTTCTCCTGACATACAGGGCAACCTGTCTAGGCCATTCCTAGTCAGCCTGGTGAGTTACTCTGCTTGAGGGTGAGGTGGATTCACTGTATCTGAGAAGAGGCCCTTCCAGGGTGGGCCTTAGCTGAAAGCTCTAATGCAGTCTGATGGGGAATGTCTGAGAGCTAGGAGCTGTCACCCTCTGGGTCAGGTGGCCCTCAGGCTAGGCTTGAGCAAAGAACAGGTAAGCATATGCTGAGAGCCAGCATGCCAAGGTGAGTCTCAGAGTATTCCAGGCCTGGCCCAGAGACTGGACTTCTTCTGGATCCTGCAGGCTGGAACCCCCTATTCATTCCCTTCTTCAAAGTCACTGAGACCTGTTGTAGCCCAAGAATCCTGTCACTGATACAGGCTGTGCCTTAGCCTGGCTGGACCACTAAGCACTAAAGCTACTTCAGAGGCCGTTGTTTGCTGTGGGGATCCTAGGGGGTGTACCCTAGATAGCTCCTTTCCCTCTCCATCCCAAGGGACCCAGCCTCTGATCCTCCTGGGACAGGCATTTTGGGTGCAGGGAGAGGTGAAATCCCTCCCCATCACAGCTGCCTCTATGGCCTAGAAGGAGAGACAGGCCCTGGGCCTACTACACAAAATAGTACACCCCACTTCACTACACACTACTACACACTGCTTCAAGCCTATATTCTCAGGATGACTCCAACCCAAGGGAGTTGGAGTAGTAGTGTAGACCATTTAACCCGCACAAGACCTACAGGAATACAGTAAGTAGATGGGGGGTCAAGTATAGGACAAGAAGGTCACCCCCAAGAGGCCTGAGCCTGCCTCCCCAGAGGGGCTGCTGCAAAATAACTTTACAGGATCAAGTCAGTTTCTGGAGTCACTGGATAAACAGAGTTAAATCAATTCCATAGCAGAGAGGCTGGGAAAGTAATCCAAAAGGAACATTTAGGTCAAGCAGGTAGGGATGCCTCTCCAGTCACTGAGACCTGTTGTCCCAGCTCATCTTTACGAGCCAGTATGTATGTCACACCCAAGAAACACTGCCATAGCCGCACCCCTTCCCCATCTTTGGTTTGCACCAAAGGTCTAGGCTCAGCTTCCATTTGGTCAGAGCCCTCACCTCCAGAAGGTGAGGGAAGAGCTAGCCAGAAAGCAAACAGAGACTCAAGCAGAGCAGCCTCCAAGCAAAGCAAGGGGTTGAGCTCACCTTTCAGCGAGAAGGAGGAGTTGCCTGGCACAGTGGGCAGGTCCTCAGAGTTCTGAACAGTGGACGAGTACTCCCAGACCCTGGAGGTATAGTTACCTGGAAGGACAAAGAAGGCACGTCAGGCCCAGGTAGGCTGGTCTGGAAAAGAAAGGGCAGGACCAGGACAAGATCAAGTCCTTGACTCTTGGTTCCTTTGATACCTCTGAGGTCAGGATGCCACTAAGCCTGCATCACACTTCCCCAGTCTTCCCTGCTACAGAAGGTGTATAAAGGATAGGTGTGCTCCTGCAGGCCACTGTCCTCAGCATAAGAAACAATTTGTACTTTCTAGTGTGCTATGACAAGGGATGTGGAGTAGCCTGTGCCACCGTGCATGTGAAAGGTCAAGAGTATCTGGATGCTGTTCCTCTCTGTCCACCTTTCCATGGTGCTTCTAGGACCAAACACCAGGCTTGCACAGCAAGTACCTTTACCTGCTGAGCCATCTTGTCAGTTCCTATCCTCAGAACAGCGGGGAGCACTTAACACAACCCAGGGGTCTTGCATGAACTGTTCATTCCCACCGTTCCCACCCACTTCCTAGAATTCCAGCCAAGTTGTGACCTCACTTCCTCCAACAACAGCTTCTTTCTTGCCTCTGGCTTTGGATCCAGAATGGTCCTTTGCTTGGGCTGGGCCCTTGCTCCCCATCCCCAGAAAATTCATACAGCATGTCTCCACGTCACTTCCCTCAAGTCCCTGTGTGCCTCTTCCTGCTGCCTCTCATCATCCTGCACATCCTGTGCCCTGGGTCGCAGCTGGCTGTCTAATTGTCCATCTCCTGTGGTTCTGGGGACATGTTTGTTTGGCTGAACATCAAACCGACGCCTGCCAGAGCCTTATTCCTAGAAGGTATTCGCTGCATGTTTGATGGATACACGTGCTAACTAATGAACAAAATAAATACAAACATAGCCTATCACTTGGGGACAGAGACAGTTGACAGAATGCCTGGTGTCCTGTTCGTGGGGGTGAACAAGCTAATAGACAGCTATGTGCAAGAAGGTTTCTATGGTGTGTAACAAAAGGAAATAGGGAGAAAGCAAGGGCATCAAGATGGCATTGGCATCCCCACTGATGAAGCACCCACATTTTCTTCAGTAGCAGAGAGCCTTGGGTACCTCCTAAGTTAAGATCCTTCTGCAGCTGTGCCCACTAACCGTGTGTTTCTCTTGTCCCTAACAGATAAATTGGGTGAAATAAGGCAAGTAGCCACTCTGAGGTTGGATTTGGGGGCCAGTAAGAGTCAGGGACAAGGACACACCTCCACTGAGTCATGTACTAGCCATGAAGTGGTTCAAATGAATTGTCTTGCTGTCATTCTCTCCTACAGATAATTTTGTATTGGTCACAGCTGTAAATCTTTTGTATGTGGAATGAGATAGCTAATGGGTGGACATGTGTGCATGCACATATGTACACATGCCTGTGCCCGAGGTCAACATCAGGTGTCTGTAGTCACTTATGCACCTTGTTTTGGGGGACAGGGCCCCACATGTGTGCATGCACATATGTACACATGCCTGTGCCCGAGGTCAACATCTGGTGTCTGTAGTCACTTATCCACCTTGTTTTGTTTTGAACCTGGAATTTGCTGATTTGGCTAGACTGACTGGTCAGCATGGCCCCAGGATCCCCCTGTCTGCAAGCACTGAGATTTCAGGCACATGGAGTCAAGCCCAGCCTTTACACATGAGTGGTGGGAGTCAAACTCAGGTCCTTGTGTTTGCATGGCAAGTACTTTACCAACAGAGCTAGCTTCTCAGCCCTTACAGCTATGAATCTTAATAACCAGTTAGAGAGGTCCAGGCCTTGACCTCTCCACCAGATGTCAGTGACCTTCCGTTTTCCAGGTGTCTATTCTTTACTGAAGAGACTTCCCAGTGCTGGATCTGGGGAGGGGGGGTGCCTGTCAAAACTGTCCCAGTCCCCATGAGCTCCATCCCCCAAACAGAGGCTTCAGGAGTGCACAGTCCTGACCCAGAGTACAGCAATCCCCTTAGCACACAGAGCAGGAGACCCTGTATCTGACAGCTGTATTTGGGGAAAGCATATCCCCACCCCCACCATCATGGCCATCATGGCAGTGCCTCTGGGATGTCCAGGCACACTGGTGTCAAGTCATGCCTTCCTTCCCATTTGCACTTTAGATAAGTCGCTTTAGTATGACATGGCTAATACAAAGGTCAACTCGGGTCTGTCGGCCTTCCGTCCTGATGCTTGCTGGGAAAGACCCCCACAGCCAACCTCATGGTACACAATCACCCCATTTCCCCCTATTCATCCTTTAGGGATAAAAGCAAATGGACTGTGAAGTTTTTAAGATGCTGGGTTTCAGCAGCTTCTCCCCAAGCCTAACTAATGACATCATGCATTTCTGCATTAAATTTAAAAACAAACGCACACACACACACACACACACACACACACACACACACACACACCCTGTCCTGGCCACATTTCTCTTACACTGGGTAGTCAAGGCATTCAAATTCAACCAGCCCATACACCATCCTATGTCCTCCTGCACACCTACGTGGGCCCCTGCCTACCCTAAGCTGAGCCCATCCTACCTTTTGTGCCATACAGATTGCTGAAATTCTTCTGGTTGGTCTCCTTGGAGAGGCGGCTGGGCGATGATGGCTGATAAGTCCGGGCCCCACCTGTGGGGCAGGAGCAGCATTGCAGAAAGGTGGGCCTGACTCGGCTCTGACTTGTTGAGGGGAATCCCAGACAGGACCCCAAACATCTCCCTGAGATCCCACTGGACTCTTCCATTAGGAACAGTGCCTGGGTCTAGCCTGAGGCAGTCACAAAACTCATCACCCAAATGGGGACCCTTTAAGAAGCAGAGGGGTCAGGCTGGAGAGATGGCTCAGAGGTTAAGAGCACTGACTGCTCTTCCAGAGGTCCTGAGTTCAATTCCCAGCAACCACATGGTGACTCACAACCATCCATTATGAGATCTGGTGCCCTCTTCTGGTGTGCAGATATACATGACAGCAGAATGTTGTATACATAATAAACAAATAAAATTAAAAAAAAAAAAAAGAAGCAGAGGGGTCACTATTGGTCATTGTCTCCAGAGCATTCTGGATGGTTCTGGGTGTGCTAAGATGCTCAGTCATTGAGGCTGGATGGTTCTGGGTGTGCTAAGATGCTCAGTCATTGAGGCTGACAAGCCAACACTTTGCTCCTGAGCCAGGGCCTGTCCGAACTGGACTGCAGAGGCTGGGATCCAGGGCAGTAGGAAGAAGGAGAAGCCATGACAATGGTGGCAGTGGGGGCAGAGGCTTTGGGTCCTCACCCAACAGACCTAGCCTCCTACAGAAGCCTAATGAGCCAGCTGGGAACTTGTCCCAGGTATCAACACAGCCTGTGGCTTCTCCCCACCCTCCTGCATTATGTTCCCACACAGCCCTGTCAAGGCCCTCCTGTTGTCTCTACCCCTCTTCCTAGACACCATATACCTCACCCACTGCTGGCTCACCCAGCCCAGCACCTGCCTGCCTGTCCTCTTTCTGTCATAGTCCTGCCCCCCACCCCACCCCTGTACTGGGCAGAGAGTCCCTTCTTCCTCAGCCTGGGAACTAACTTCTCCAAGGGAGGGGGTCACCATCACTGCCTAACCCCACCGACTCCAAACTTCCAGGCTTGGCCTGACAGCCTTTAGTAGCCCTGTTTCCCTGGTCCCCTTGACATCTCAGCAGCCCCTCCCATGCCTCTCTGAGCCTGGGAGCTGCAGGTGTCCTGCCCATCCTGTCCCTGCAGGGCAGGGACACCAGAGGAACCTGTTTCCTCCACCTACAGATGTCACAACTGTGACCAGCCTCAGGCTGGCTCAACCCTGGCACTCTCGGGGAGCCTTTGTGGCAGGTCGCACTCCCCACACCTGGTGGCCAGCATGGGGCCACTCTGTCCATGGGTCTCTCTTATGCAGAGAGAATCAAGCAGGAGCCAGTGGGGTTTGGACCACCCCATCAGGCTAGTCTTTGACCAGGGGGAGAGCCAAAGGGACCAGGCTAGAGCGAGGCAGACATGGGTTTTTAAGGAGAGGGCTGCTAGGGATCCAGCCAGCACAGTTTGTCCTTTCATGGAACTGGCTAAGAGCAGAACTCTGGACAGAGAGGGGACAAGAATGATGTCAGAGCCTAGTTCACCCCAGGAATGTCAGGCAAAATTCCAGTAGCCCTCTAGCCTAGAACCTCCCAAAAGTCTGAGTGCTGTTTTGAAAGGCAGGGTATAGAACTTCCTGTCTGATGAGCTCACTTCTCCCAATCCCTAGCTCTGCCCACTGTGGATTTATCTGTCTGTCAGTAGCTGCTCAGGGCCTCTGGCTCCTCTTCAGCTAAGTGCCTCCCCAAATCTTCCCCCTCCCATCCCACCCTCCACTCTCCAGCATCCCCATTCCTCTCCAGGCCCCCTGGCTCCCACATGCACCTGCATGCCCCTTTGACCCTGGGCCTATGGCCTGGTACACCCACCCTTATGCAATAAGCACTGTTGTGGTTTGTGGTTGGCATCTAAGAACATTTAGACTATCCTGAGCCAGGGACAGGCAGACCCTGCCTAGAGGCCCCCAGGCTGTCCCCTAGAGGGTGGGCTAAGGAGGCAGGTAACTCAAGGGAAAAACACGGAGGGGCAGACTGGCCCGGGAAGCAGCAGCCCTACCCAGGACCCAGTTACTTGCAGCAACTTTGGCAGAAGCGCCACACAGCTCTGGGATGCCAGAGAAGAGTCTGCCAGATACTCTGAAGGACAGAGGCTACAGGAAGGGAGAGACTGACAAACTGCATCAGGGACCAATGCATCTAAGGAGCCGAGTGCTGGATAACCTGTCACCAAACCAGGACACACGTCACCTGAGAGTGAAAGGAGGCACTGATTACCCCCACACGGGGGCAGGAAGTAGGTGCCAGACACACTGCGTTATGGTCACTCTACCCCGGGAAGAACCTGTCTGAGGGCGACTTGGGACCTCGGCCATTGGTAGCATGCTCTCCCTCACCCTTGGGTGTGAGGTACATGGAGTATCTCTTCATGGTATCAGGTGTGCTCCACTCATTCCCGTAGCTGCTGGTGTAGCTGTTCATGTAACGATGGTCACCTCCTGGAAGAGAGGGACACGTGAGGAAGAGGAGCCACTCATTCCCGTAGCTGCTGGTGTAGCTGTTCATGTAACGATGGTCACCACCTGGAAGAGAGGGACATGTGAGGAAGAGAAGTTAGCTCACAGGGAGAGCCAGACTCTAACAGACTCAGAGGATGTGGCAACACTGAACATACCAACCCTGCTACTCCAGTGAGCCACTGCCCAGGCACGGTCTTATCCTTGCAAGGGCAATTGTGTGCGTGGCAAGGAGATGCCCAGTTTTGGTGTCCATTTTATTTATTTTGATTTATTTGATCTGTACATCAGCTCCTGGGCAGGTATGAACATCTTCATGTAACAGAAATGGAAATCAAGGCTCAGGAGGTGAGAGTAGTGAGATGCCCCTGGTAATAGGACAATCCAGGCAGAGTTGGGATTTGGCTTCTGACCCCACATCTTACCTCAGCCCCAACCATGACAGCATCAGATAGGGGAATGAGGTCCTGTCTTAGCCTCCATGGTCCAGGGATCTGGCCAGCTGTGAACTGCGCACAGCTGCAGGCCCTCAAACCCCAACTAACCTGTCTCTCAGTGCGCAACTCTGCCTCTTACCCTGCTACCCTCCCACCCCTCTCCTGTCTGTTACTGCTTTCTGACTTCTATTTCCTCCATCCTTCTCACTCAACCCCAACTAACCTGTCTCTCAGTGCGCAACTCTGCCTCTTACCCTGCTGCCCTCCCACCCCTCTCCTGTCTGTTAGTGCTTTCTGACTTCTATTTCCTCCATCCTTCTCACTTTCTCAGGTAAGGAGTGAATGGCTCAGACCTATCCATCCTCATCTCCATCACCAGCGTCTAGCAGGATCCTGGCACACAGTAGACTAAAGGTGTTTGTCCAGCCCTGGTCCCACTAAACCAAAGATCTCTGGAGGTGGCCTGGTGTGTCTGAGCCCTGGGCCTGTGGGGGTGGGAGTGCATCCCTGGTCTGGTAGGCAAGCCATCATCAAGGAGCAACAGATGGTCAAGTCAAGGCCTGACTCATATGCTACCCATCCTCTATCTCCTACAACAGATATCATCTAGCCACTAGGCAACAGTGACAAAAACATGACACAGGCAAAGAAGGCTTGCCCTGGGCCCGCATCACAGGTGCAGGGCAGCTGAATCAGCACACCCAACCTTGCTCCTAGATACTGTCTCACTACACACCTTACAGAGGACGCCGGACCACACCTGCACAGAGACTGTGGCTCGAACCATCATGACCTAGAAATGCAAAAGTGAGGCACCAGGAGGCCGGGTGGTTCCTACAAGGCTCACAAGCCACCATACCCCAGTTAGGGCTGTCCTCTCTCATTTGTCCAAACCATACCCAGTGACTCCCCTGCAAGGTTAGTACCACAGAGGCAAAGATAATCCTTCCTCAAACCGCTGCTGCTGCTACTAGCCCTGCTTGAGATGAGAAGGCATAGCAGCCAGACTAGCAGAGTGTGAAGCCCAACACTACCCCCTCCCTGTCATCTGGGGGTCCTTTGAAAGGCTGCTTCTCTGAGTATCAACCTGGACATCTGCAAGAGGCAACACCCCACAAGGGAGCAGAGAAAGGCCAAGGAAGGAAGGAACTCACCATAATGCCCACGTCTCGGGAGCCCTCAATCACCTCAGCTGTCACCATCCCCATTAGTATTGTGGCAATTGTCATTAGGAAAAGGCTGTCAGGATCTGAGTGCCATTTTAAGCCAAATGATTGTCTTGCTAAAATGTCTTATCTGTCCTTAGGTGTGATTGAATGTCCCCCATATTTCACAGGGACACTGCATGGTATCATGCCCAGGTGCTCCCCTACACACTCCTAGGCCCCTGTCCTCAGGGAAGAGTGATGTGCTCCACCTAGAGACCAGATGGAATCATTTCCAGTGTGTGTTGATGGCTATGAGGCCTTAATAGGGCTGTTTTTGAAGACCTTGCACTGGACCTGAGCCATCGGGGTGTGGCCTTGGAGAAGGTACCCAGGCTTTGGGCCCTAAAGGGATCAGGATTGGGTAGAATGGGGCTTAGCAGGGCTGTTCCTCAGGTTAGGAGGCTTTCTGTGAGAGAATTCGGTTGACCTCTATAGGGAAAACATGACTCAGAGTAGGAGCTGATTTCTGGGCAGGTGAGTCAGAGACACGCCATGCCCCATCATCTTCAACCCACCGCCAGGCCAATTTCAGCCTGTGGGCTCAACACTACTCAGCACAGCCATGGCGACAGGCCTCCCTCCAAGCCCAGATGTAATTCTAGGTTACTTCTGAAGCCTACAACTCATCCATGCGAAGTCTGGCGCATTCAAGCAGCAGCAGTATGCAACTGCTAGGTTAGACCTGGCAGTTAGATGGAACCCGGATGAGACCAGTCCTTGATGCCAATGAATGCGCCCACAGAGGAGGCACTTGTGCAGCAGTTCCCAGAATCTCTCTGCTCTAGAGGCCCCTCATAATAGCTACCAATTCAATAGGAGTGCTAGAATCCCTGAACCCTAGTCTGAACATGGTCCCATGGATGAGTGAATGGAGACCATGAGTCAGCTATCCAGGTTCCTGTCTACATCAGGCAGCAGGAATTGACTGAGAAACACTCACAGCCTCGGCCCCGTGGACAAGGGAGTACCTACCATTCTCCATATGGTTCCTCTCAATGAAGTTTCGGCTCAGATCGGCCTTGCACATCTTCTCAACGTGGCGCATGCACACGTTGAGCAGGTCATCCTTGAAGTTGCCAAGTGACTGTCCCAGGCCCTCTCCCTCCAGCAGGACATGGTAGGTGGGCAGAGGTGGGGGGAGGGAGTAATTGCTCATCAATGCACCAAATTCCTACCAAGAGAGAAAAGCAGCCATTAACTTTGCCAGTCTTTGTAAGTTATGGAGACCTTGGTCTGCAAGGGAACTCTCGGTTGAACTGGAGACTCTGCACTGAGAGCCAGAGGGCTGAATTCTAGGATCAGCTCAATATCTAGCCTTACTTTTCCTCGCTTGGACAGACGATTGAGGAAATCAGCCTTGATTGAATTAACATTTAGATGAGTGACTCCATGGTTCACACCACTGACGTGTATACAATACACATGCACAGGAAGTTGTAAAGGTGACACAGGCTGTGTAGACTTTGGGGAAAGAGGTACATGAAAAACTAGAACAGATGGGTATTTCCATCTTGACAGCCTCATTCAATCCTGCCTCAACACTTCCCTTCTCCCTCCTGGAGTATCCCTCCTCCTTCTCAAGTCCTAAGCAGCCTGCAAGACCCTATCCAAACTCCACCAAGTCGTCCTTAGATTGCTCCAGCCCGCTGGCCCTTCTCTGAATTTCCATAGGCACTTATCTCCCGAGCCACACGCTTTATCATTTAATTACACACTTTTCCATATTGTTCTCTAATTGTACACGTCTTATCTTCCCAGCTGGATTGCAGCTGCTTGGGGGCAGAAACCATGTCTTATACTTCTCTATTCACCACAGCACCTGATAGAGTCCTGCATGCCCAGGAGTACCAAAACATTCAAGCAGACAGAAAGATGGATGCATGAATACACAAACAGACTAGATCCAAGATAACAAATTTGCAACACGTTTATGCCATTCCTCCCTTACCCAAAGCAGGCATCACTAATTAATCACAGAACTTATCAAGCCTGTAGCACTGCTGGTACGTAGCAATTGAACTTGGCACAAGGTGACATTTGTGTGCCATCCTTGGGGTAGACTGGATATAAAAGTAAACAGATGGAAAGAGCAGTAGTGACTGGGCAGATAGATGGTGGGTGGACGTTTAGTGAGTAGACGGGTGCTGGCAATGAGTGGATGGATGGTGGGTGGGTGAATAGGGAATGAATGGATGGATAATAGATGGGTGAATTCGTAGTGACTGAAGGGCTAATAGAAGGATGGATGGGCGGGTGGATGGATGGATGGATGGATGGGTAGATTGATGTGAGGGGGATGAATAGTGAGTGTAATGGGTGGGTGGATAGATGGATGAATGAATGGTGAACTGATAGGCAATGGATGGGCGGATGGATGGTGAGTGATGAGTAGTGGTGAATGGGTAGATAAATGGATGGATTGATAGTGGGTGGGTGGGTAGCAGATAGGTAGCGAATGGGTGAGTAATGGGCAGATGTATGAACGCATGGGTAGACAGTGGGTCAATGAGTAAGGGTAAACGTGTAAGGTGTGCATGAGTGAGAGCCTGAGAAACTGGATGAGATGAGTAAGAGGACAAAGAGTTTGAGTGGTGGAGTCTGCTACCTGCAGAAACAGCACCGAGTCACTGATGCTGTGCAGCTGCTCCCGCGTCTGCTTGTCCTCGTGCAGCACCTTGGCCCTCTCATCCAAGGCATCCACGATCACTTTCACTTGGTCCACAGCATCCTGCTCCCGCTGCTCCAGGGCAGCTCTTACTTCCTCCTTTTGCTTCTCCAGGTCCCTCACCAGGTCCCTGAAGTTCTGCTCCAAGATAGCTTTCTCATTAGTGGTGAAGCTCTAGGTCCAGAATCAGGGGAGGAATGAAGAAGAGTTGCATTAAGGAAAACAAACAAACAAACAAAAACCCTAGTTTTCCAACAGACTCAAAGAACCCCCAGGACCCTAACTTTGCAAGTCACCTTGTCCACAACTCTCATTCAAAAGCATCATTGAGGGGTGCCACTTACTGATAAACATGCTAGTGTGTGGGTTATTGATTTGGATGGATTGCTTTGTTAACACTGCTTTGTTTGAGACAGGATCTCAAGTAAAACAGGCTAGCCTCAGACTTACTATGTCGTCAAGGCTTTGAATTTCTCATCCTCCTGTCTCTGCCCACTGAGTGCTGGGGTTACAGGTGTGTCTGCAGGTGTTTCTCATACTCTACTCTTCCTTATCTACTATGGTTGTTTTCCTGGAAGGGACAACACGAGCCACTATTCCATGCTCTAGTGACTCTATACAGACTCAGACAATCTCCTTCAAGTCAGGGTATGTTTGCTGAAACCCCAACCAGAGCAAACATTATTTGGAAAGTAAATCAGTTGGTTGTTCCTGAGGCCAGGCTCCACAGTCACTAACTTCATACTAGTCTGCAATTATCTGAGCCACAGCAGACATACTGCTTACTATGCTGGCCCAAGGAGAAAAGAAATGGCATGTATTTAGTAGCTGGGTAGTCTGGTAAGCAAAGCAGGCATTAGAGGATATGGAAGACACATTGAAGAATGGGTCTAGGATCTTTGTTTGCTGGTTCAGATGATGGGCAAAATCCCACCTAAATGCCTGACCTAGGCTGAGAAAGGAAGTGGATAGGAATGTCAAAGGGAATGGGAGGAACCCAAAGAAAGAAGTATGGATATCACTGTGGACCAAAGCCTGGAGCAGCACAGAGGTCTGCCTTCTCTCAAGCAATATAGGCAAGTGAGGGCGCAGCAAGGGAGCCTGAGGCTGCTCACCTTGATCCGGTCCTTCTCCTTCTGCCACTTCTCAGCCTCATCTTCAATCTCAATGATTTTCAGCTGCAGCTGCTCCTTCTGCAGTGACAGCTCGGTCTGTGGGGAAATGTGGAGGTTGAAATTGTCAGGAGCAGGGAGACAGGGGAACAGGACCTGAGACCCAGACTGCTGACTCAACACAAGAGCAAATGCAGGCAGATTCAACACTCATCCATATAGCCCTTAACTCAGCAAATGTTATCAGCACCCCTGCTGACTCAACACAAGAGCAAATGCAGGCAGATTCAACACTCATCCATACAGCCCTTCACTCAGCAAATGTTATCAGCACCTCAGATCTGCTGGGCTGTGTGCTAGTGGCCAAGAATCCAGGCATGCATCAAACACCATACCTCTGTACTCTTGGATCACTAGGGCTGAGCAGCTCAGCCATGTCCTTAAAGGGGATAAGCTTCTTAATCCTTCCCACCTAATGAAGGGTGGGAGGCTCTTGCTCCTTCCAGTGGGCCTGGGGCCATTGGTGAAAGAGAGGATCTGGATTCAACCCAGTTCAGCAGAGCCCTGCCCAGGGAGTGGCTTGTAGCAGTAACCCCATGCAATGTTTCTATGGCATGACACAGGCCTTGTGTTGCAAAAAAGAGCTGGGGTTGCTGCCAGCACAGACTGGGTCTAGGCAAGCACAGCTGTAAACCTGTTTATAAGAAAGGGAACTCATCTGCAGTGTAGGCAAGATGGGGACTCTTCCCCAGGCTCTCTGCAGGAAAGAATACAGGGTGAGGCCAGGCAGGGGATGAGAGGACCTGAGGCCCCTGTTCAGAAGCACTCAGACTGTTGGACCCTGGGGCAGCTGGGAAGAGGCTCTATCAGGAGGGCATTAAAACACCAGCATCACATCCACACTTGGCTTCCACGTGGGGGAAGGTCCCTCTCTGAAAACCAGCTGTAACTGAGGCAGATTAGAAGGCATGAAGCTAAAGCCAAAGCTATTCAATGAGTCGAGGGTATCTTTTTTTTCTAATGGGACCCACTGGAGTTCCCAAAGCCCTGTCTAAAGCTTGGAAGATAAGGGGTGATCATTCAAGGAAGTCTTGCGTGACTCAGAGCTTCCCATAACCACCATGGTTTGAAAACAGCCTCCTCTTTCTCTCTCTGTCTCTCCATTTTCTAGCCATCTCCCTGAGGAACCTATAAGAACAGCCACGGTGGAGAAATCACAAACCATGAGGATGATGAGCTCTCCCGGCAAGGAGTTGTGAGCATCTGGGCCTGGAGCATCATCAGATGCCTTTGAACATCTCGCCAATCTGAGGGTTGACTATGGGGTGTCTGCAGCAGATCCTGAGGGGATACCCTGGGATGCTTGCTGCAAACTCCAGAGCAGGGCATCCAATGGTAGAAAGGCTCCTATTGGCCTTTTAGAAAGGGTGTCCAGAGGTGAGGAAGGCAGGGACACAGGAGCCACAGAGACCCCCAGATGGGAAGTCCTGCTTCCGTTGCCTGCCCATCACTGCCACATTCCCAGGTTCTCCAGGCAAGAAGACTCTAAGATGCTCTCAGTAAGCACCTACCCCACCTCCAAAGTCTGACAACCCCACAGCATGGAAAATATCATCAACAGAGAGGAAGACTGGCTTTCAGGAAGAGATGAGGGTGGGGACTTGGCCAGGCCTCTGGAACAAGGCTTGAGGGAAGACACAGTAGTGGGAGGGAGGAGAACAAAGAGAGTGAGCCCCCACCCTCCAACTCTACTCTTTGAAAGTGAATAGTCACAGAGGCCAGGAAGCAAAGGCTGGCCAAGCTAGTGATATGAAGACCCAAATGTGGTACAGGCCTGAGCAAGCAGATCTGCATCCTGAGGAATAGAAGACGGGAGATAATGGGTCTGTCCAAGCAACTTTCCCATCCCTAAAGAATTCCTGGGGATGGGATGGAGTGGTGGCTCAGCCGTTAAAGGCTAGGCTCACAACCAAAAATACAAGAATTCCTGGGGAGACCAGGGTCAAAGTACAGCTGGAGGCTTCCCATGTTCTGCAGCTGAGCCTTTTGAATTGGCTCACCCAGAGCTCATGAATAAGAATCCAAGATTGAGACCCCTAACCACCACCCCCAGGCAGGCTGCGGGGTCTTACAAGTGTCTTAACTTCTCTATGGCTCAGGAGCTTCGTCTGTGCTGTGGAGGTAACCTAAGCCCCTACACCCACCACAGAGGGTGTAGGAGAGATGGGATCAGCAAGAGAAGCTTCCAGAAAGCACCTGGCACAGAGTAAGTGCTGACTGAATAATGTCCCTGTGGTACATCAATATGGCACTTCCCAGGTTGGGCAAGGCGGTAGGCATGACAACTAGGATAGGGACAGGTGTGCTCAGGTGACTCTGCTGTGTTGGATGGTGAGTCTGGTACATGGGTTATGATGGGGTCCAGATATGGTATGTGAAAGGTTCAGGCATTATGCTGGCCTGCCCCTGTTACCTGGTGGAACAAGCAGTACCCTAGTCTGCCGAGGGTTCCATGGGAACCAAGTCTGCACGCAGGTGTAGAGGACCCCTTTAAAAGACAGATCCCTGCCCATTTATGCTCTCTCTACACTTCTCTCTCTACACTCTCTACTCTTCTCCTCTTCTCTGTCTGCTTCTGCTTCTCTTCTCTCTCTCTCTCTATGGCAACCGGCCATGGCGGTCAGCCATTTAACCTGTTTCTCTTCTCTCTTAGTCTCCCTACTCTGCCAGGCCTATAATAAACCGGTTAATATGTCTCATCCTGTGTTTCATCTTACGCTCTTCTTCTTCTTCTTTATCTAATTTAAACAAAAATCTAATAGTATAGACATAAGTCAGGATAGGAGGACAGACTGAGGTTGGACACTGAGTGGCTGAGACATCAGACTTAAGATGCAAGATACCATGAATCCTTGAAAGTGGAAGACTCTGGGGGAAGAAGGATGGAGGTAGAAAATGCTAAGGACAGGCAGAAATTCTGCAACTGGGAGAGGGTGAAAGCCAGAATCAAGAGCTAGGGGTGAGCAGTGGCTCCAAGAGACATCTACCAGGGGCTGTATGGTCAGCCCACAGCTGAGTAAAGGGCCCTTCCTAGGCGAATAGATTGCCCAGCCAAGAGGAAGAAAGGAGGTACTGAGTCCAAGGCATGGAGTTCAATGTGGCTTAAGCCATGAAGCATCTAAGTCAAGGATAAAGAGATCAGCCCCTGGGAGTCTACTCTGTGAAATGGAGGGAGGAGGAGGTCAGGGGCCTTCTGAGGTCAGGCGAGAAGAGTGGAGGTGTTGGCCAGCCACCTATGTTGGGAGGAGGAGGGGACCAGCCTGGACACGTGCAAGGGCAGGATCAGAAGTGGAGACAAGTTGTCTGCAGCAGTGGGCGGCAGCATGGGTCAGGGCAGAGGAGAGACCAGCTTTCCTTTTCTCTAGGGCTCAAAGGACGTCGGACACAGGCTGGGAGGGACCCGGTACCCACACCATAGTCAGCAAGACCAAACCTGCAGGGCACAGGAGGTTTCTGGGGCTGGGAGTCACAGTAATGGGCCTTCTTCCCCTCTAGGAGGAGTGGTGCCCCACTGAGGAGAGGGGTTAGGGTCAAATCTCTTGCGATGTGCCTCAAATCGTAGTGCTTGTCAGGTTTTTTTGTTTTTTGTTTTTTTGTTTTTTGTTTTTTTCTGTACAGAAGTAACAACAGGGTGTCTGAAGACACCATGACTACAGAGGAAAGTAGTCATGGGCCACTGAGCATCTCCTACGAGCTAAAGACCCTGTGAAGGTCAATGGTGTTAGCCACGCCTTGAAGATGCAGCCACCAAGGGCAGGAGGGACTGTGTAGCTTGTCTGAGTGTGCACAGTGAGGAGAATGTAAAACCAAGACACAATCACAGGGCCACTTCTTATTCTGTGGCCCTCAGAGGCATCTCTTGGGCAGCATTCTAGACAGAGGCCTTGTCCTTCGCCCGTTTTCCCACCTCCTTGAAGCTGGTGAAGTTTAGCAATTCTCCCCTCCTACCGCCTCCCCCACCCACAAGGACTCCAGCTCCCTCTCTTCCACTCTCCCTCCTCTCACAGAATGGAGAGGCAGCCCCAGACGTCTGACAGGCTTCAGCTCCCCAGTGCTCCACCCCTCCCCATTCCTCTCGCCTGGCTCCCTCCCACTCCTTGATTCCTCCCCTTCACCCTGCCCAGGCCTGCCCCTAAATGCTTCCTTTGTTCCCTTCTCCCACACTGTCTGGAGCCTCTCCTCTCTGATGGTGGGGATGACCCTTGTGTGGGTCGCCCAGCATTGAAATTCTTGTGGCCTTGAGTGAGTAGAGGTCCCCTGAGAGCATAGGGGTGGCACAGTCTGTGGAGCTTCAGCCCAGATTGGCCATCGAGTGTAGGCATAATTAAGCACTAGACAGGTGGCCCGGCAAGGCCCCCAGGAGAGGATTCTGGCCCGCCAAGATCTTCCATCAGCCCGGACTAACTGCATGGGCCTTGGGCTGTGACATTTGCCAAATGAGCCAGTTAATTGCCAAATTTGTACTCCCAGACACATGGTAATTACCTGGATAAGAATCTGAAATGCTGAATAGATTTCATATTTCTAAACTCCCATGTCAAACAGCCCTATGTCTGTCCGACTTCATTGAGGTCCCCTTCTCACTCCCTTTGCTTCTTCACAGCCGCAGGTCTGAGGAAAGTGCTGACTAGGGTGAGACACTTCATCCTGACATCTGCAGACCAGCAGTGAACTCTGCAGACATCACCAACCATCCTTTAGCTTCAGTTTCCTTGTAGAGAATTGGGCTACCTTCCCCTGCCAGCTATACATAAGAATCCATGAGAACCAGAACCTCCTGGAGCAAAGCCTGGGACAATATGTTCTAACAAGTCATGGAGTGACCCCAGCTTGCAGCCTGTTGTTTGGAAGTCCTTGTTTGGAAGATCACAAGAAGACTCTTCCAATCCTACTGGGAAAAGAGGTTTGAAGTGGTGGAGAGAAATCCCAGCCCCTCTGCTCTTCTTCCCTGACCTTTGTGTGAGTCTTTGCATCTTTGAGCCTGGAATGGTACCCCACCCCACCAGACTGCTTCATTTGTAACCATGCAAATGCCAAACCCAACCCTGGCCCACACATGAGCTCCACAGAGACTGGATCACTACCCACCTGCCTGGTTCTCACTTTCCTCCCTGCTTCCTATCTTTAAATCTCTCATTTGATTGATCCCCTTAGGTTCCAACTATCATGTCCCTGTCTCATAACCAGACGTTCTCCCTGAAAATGCCCAGAGAGATTCGAGGCACCCTGACTTTTAGTCTGGCTCCTCTTCCTGAATCCTAGCCCCCACTATCTGCCCAAAGAGCTTTCCTCCCCAAACCAGCACAGCAAGAAACCCAAGGACCAGTGGCTGCATTAGCCTTGTAACGTAGTAGCTCGGCCTCATTCAGAGAATTGGGCAAGAAGATGAGAAATCAAGCCACAGGGCACAGTAACAGAACTGAGACAGATAATGCTGTCTACCATGTGGACGAGTCACTGAATATGAGACCCTTTAGGGTGGCACTCCAGCTTGAATGTCGTCAGCAATTGCCTTCTTACCCCAGTGATGTTGTGAAACCCAGAGACCATGTCAAATGTGCCTTAAGACGGGGCCACATACAGCAGGCCGCTGTAACAGGAGGGACTTGGGATGGGTAGGGAAGTCAATGGATAAATAAGATTTTCATATCCCTCTTCATCTCACCTCCTACCATAGCATGAGAAAACCCACAGATAAGCTAGACTAGTGAGCATCCCTGGAACCGCTTGGGACATTGGGAGTAGAGAGGGAAACACTGAGGTCCACTAGAGGAAAGGGTCACCATTTGGCACACTACGTCTGTCCTCCAAGTCTGTACATAGAGCTGAGGTTCAAGGGATGAGTGCCTGTGGCCATGGGTGTCATCTTCAGTTTTGTGCAACCACCCCCAGACACTGCTTAGTGACCTCATCCAGCCTCAGCACAGGCCGGTAGAGCTGGTTCTGCCTGCTTCCTTGCGCGAAGTCATGTGGGAGATAGTGTTTGAGTGTTTCAGATGCCTTCAGAGGATGCCAGAATCGACAATCTGCTTCACACCAGTCTATCAAAAGACCTCCCCTGTTCTGGGTCAAAGTTCCCCAAGCCCAACATCCCATAATAGCTGGCCCTAGACAGACTGCTTCAGTGCTGTCTTATGGCTGCTCGGTCCCACTCTATCCTTGTGTTGCAAGAATATACACAGGTCAGTTGTACACACACACAAGTTACCCCAAGTTCCCACCATAGCAGTCACTCCAGGATCCCATTCCCTTCCAAGGTGACCTCATATATTGCAAGACAACCTAGGCACATTTTTCTCCAGCCATAATATTAGCCAGGTTCCTTCCTTCCTTCCTTTCCTTGGGTGTGTGCCCCAGTCTGTGAAGTAAAGAGTAGACTGTGAGGCTGTGAATGCACCATTAGGCCTGCTATTCTCCCTCTGAAATTTATGTTTATGCTTCTGCATACCTGGGAGGGTGTCCTGTCTTGTTTGTCTGTCTAAGCCTCTACTTCCTTGCCTATGTCACAAGCCCTTGAGGGCAAGGACTCTCTGAGCCCTACAGCATCCACTGACTAAGAACAGCAACTTGGAGCTCTCAGTGTCTCCAAGCCAAGCTGCCCACACCTTCCTGCCCCCCAGAGCCAACTCTTCTACAGGCACTCACAGTGGAGCCGAAGCTTGCATAGAAAAAGAGGTCTGTGTGTTTAACTGGCTCTCAGTGGAAGCAGAACCTGAAACGTTTGTTCCCTGTGCCCACTTTGTCTCCTTCTTACCCCAGAGTCCTCAGAGATGTTTCTAAGAATCCTGGGCCATCACAGAGAAATGTGAAAACAGTGTAGTCCATCCCTCAGTTTCACATGGAGGGAAATGAACCACTCACTGGCTTGGAGCTAAAGACTGACAACCTCGTAACAGCCAGCCTGCCTCATTGCCCAGTGCCCTTAGAATTCTGCTTGGAATTCTAAGCACTGTCTCCACGAATGGGCTTCATGCTCCTGCCCTCTGTTGTCTATCATCGAGAAGCTAAGAGCCAGGCTGCAGCCAGGAGATGCTGGAGTCAGGGAACAAGCAAAACTGAAGACACCTTCGAGTACCAAATGATGTTTCTAAGAGAGGGTGTCTGATTCTGTCCCTACCTGTGACTCAGCACCTGCTGCCCCAAGGGTAGGGGCAAGAGACACAGAGTGAGAGTGACCAACAAGCACATGATCAAGGCTCTGGGCAAGGAGAGACCCTCTGCAATTTGAGGTGCAAAAGCTAATGAGAAAGTAAAGCCCTTGCACTGGCTGCCAGGACGCTTTGTCCCCACATGCAGCTGAGTGAGCTCAGCAAGGGACAAAACCAGTGGCCCCAGCTGGGCCTTAACCCAGAATACCTTCCCCAGGTGCATCACATGCACAAGTCTCCACCTGCCCCTGCCTCTCCCCATGGAAGTACCGCCTCATCACACACGGGGAATTCACACAAACACACTTACATAGCCCCCACACAAATATGGGCAGACACCCACATTCGCAGACATCCGCATGCGTATAAAATACACGCTTACATCCACCCGCCCACACATGCTCTCACTCCTGTGTTGTCCATCCACAAGCACAGACCTGTTGGCTGAAGCCACACAAACAAAGCACACAGGGCCCAACTGAGCAAGAGTAAGGGATACCAAAGTGGGGGTGAAGGGCGTGGCTTCAGAACCAAGTACAACAAGCAGAGTAAGGGGTGTAAAAGCCTGGGGGGGCGGGGAGAAGATGGGTTGAAGGAAATGGCTTCCAAGTTAGGGCAGATTCAAGTAGCTGCTGAACTGCAAAAGCAAACCTGGAGCCAGCAAAAAGGGTCTTTCAGGAGTCCTCAAATCCCCTTAATATCTCTCTCATTCTTGACCTACTCCCTAGGGTCCAATCCTGCTCAGTAGGGAAGAGTTTTCTATTCATAGAGGGGGCGGGGGGCAAGTGGAGCCCAGGAGAGTTTAATACAGTTTTACACTCTGGCCTGACTTAGATTTATCTCATGAACTTAGTCCAGCTTCTAACCTTTCTGGAGTTTCTATTCCCTCACTTAAGGATGCCCCTCTCCCAAGATCTTTGGCAGTTAGATCTCTGACCCCCAGGCTGGAGGTACAAAGGGGGAAAACTTGTTTTCTAAAAGAACGGAGCACAGTGGATTGAGGGTCAAGGTGGGAGGGGTGGGAAGGGTAAGCGGGGAGCAGCCGGGGTCCTGATAAGTCACCTCCTTCTCAGCCTTGGCCTCCTCCACGGTCACAGTGCTGTGGTTCTTGTGCTCCTGGAACATGCAGAGGTAGCAGATGCAGGTCTGGTCAGTCTGACAGAAGAGCTCCATAGTCTTGCCATGCAAGGGGCACTTTCGGGCCTCGAAGTCCCGGATGGGCTCGAGCAGCTGGTGGTCACGGAAGGCAGCGCCCTCCAGGTGGGGTTTCAGATGAAGCTCACAGAAGGAAGCCTGGCACACCAGACAGGACTTGACCGCCTTCTGCTTGTTGCCAATGCAGGAGTCGCACAGCACCTCCTCAGAGCTAGACTTCGACCTCAGCAGGAGGCCAGAGTCAGCCCTGGGGTAGCTATTCCTGCGGATGTCCCCTGGCTCCACGATGGTCACCGTGGGTTTGCGGGGCTCAGAGAAGATGGACTTTCGCAGCTCCCCCTTCTCAGCAAAGGTCACTGGCGGCTTCTTGGAAGCCCCCAGCTGGAGCCCCGCATAAGGAGACCTCCTGCCTTCCGCAGAGTCCATGCTGAAGTAGTTGGAGCCTTTGTCATCCACAGACTCCACAAACTGGATGATGGGCCTGCGCCACTCATTGCTGGAAAACAGGGCACTCTTCCCCTCCCCTGACTTCAGGGCACTGCCCAGGGTCTTGCCCTCTGTCACTTCCCCACTGTGCCCGTTGGTTGTCTTGGTATCTTTGCTGTCTGCTTTAGTGCCATTCTCCAGGCTGCCATTGGGACCCGATGGGCTGCGAGTGTCCCTGGCTTCCGGGCTGGCCCCATTGCTCCTAGAGGCATCGGCACCTTCCATGGCAGGTCACTTGTTGGCCTGTTTCTGCTGGTTGGGGTCTCTTGGTAGGTGTCTCGGGCACGGAGTGGGACTGGCAAGCAGAGCCCAGGGACACACCTGTGGGGAGGAGAAGGTGGGGCAGGAGGAGGAGCCATAGGAGGAGCAACCT